CATTACTGATGTTTTTACGCTGGTTTTCATCACTGGGTAATCCCGCTTCTGATGTCGGAGTGGGCCGAGCGGTAATATAGGCGGTTGGCCACGTGGTTTTTCTTGATCCGCCATCTTGGTTATTCAATGATATTTCCCGAAAATAAAACTGTAGTCTAGTGACCAAGCTAACGTTTAATTTGAATCTTCTTATTACTTTACAAAATCAGTTATGATTGCCAAGGTACAAACGGATTGCTTTGTGAAGCGCGGAGAGTTCTGTGCTAACGTCCGTTCACTATCGCAGCTCACGTCTGAATGCCGAATGCCGAATGCCCCTTCCAATGAAGCGTTACCCCCTTAAATACTACCCTTAGCATAGACCACTCCCAAGTGATGACAGCTGTCACTGTCATTACTTGACGTTTCACAAAGCAATGGTACAATGACTGATGACATTTGTTGTAGGTTTTACGTTTCGCAGGAGCGAGCGAGACGCCATTCGCCGACATATTTAACATTTTTTTTCCCTACCACTCGTTATTGGACATATTTTTTAGCTGCGGAGAAAAACGAGCGAAAAAAACTCCACAACATTAAAAGCATAATGTAACAACATTTACAAATCATTATGTTTTTACAACGTCAATACAATCATGATTTATTTATTTTTTATACAATTGCGCAATATAAATTAAGATTCACTCATCCTACACAATATGGTGTCACTTCTAGCATGATTCTCCAAACCCAAACTTAAATCTGACAACAGTGTATCTTTGTCATTCTCAATACAGCATGAAAAGGAGAGACTGATGTTAAACTTAATTATAAGTTTGAAGAATCATGCCAGAATCGACACCATTAATTCATTAAAAATTATTATTCATTCTTAATTTAAACACATTATTAATAAATTAAAAAAAAATGTTTCATAAATAGATGGAAGCTAAAGTTAATACGTTATACTTTACAAAAATAAAGATCTACAGGATTCCATTTGATCAATGTTAGCCAGTATTCCTATTTTTTTTTCCATTCCAATACCTTCCTCACATAAGTTTCCCCACAATACAATTCCATACGAATGTATTGAATATTCAAGACGCATAATAAGCTACAATAGCGCTAGAATCACTACCACGTTTTAATTGCTGGAGTGTGTATATAAAACATGATACCTTATTTGTTATTTTTTTTTGGATGTGCTTGTTGAGTGATGTGCGTGAAAACCTAAGAGAAACAAATGTGCTGTTTCCAATTCAAATGTGTGTCTAATTCAATACCCAACAGAGTAGCGGAGCTTACAACATCTAATTTTGTGACATTGTAACTGTACGATATTTCTAATCCAGATTTTTGATATGGTTTAAATTGGATGATTTTGGTCTTATTGAGGTTAAGTTGCAGGTTGTGGAATTCTAGCCTGTTATTTATTTTGCCAAGAGTTGAATTCAGACTAAGTTTCAGTTCTGAAGTATTGGAAAAAGGTATTAACACGGAAATGTCATGTGCAAAGAGAATACTTTTACTGTTCATTATTTTTAGCATCTCAGTTATATAAATCTATACTTATAATAAATCTGTAGAGATGTCAATTCTGTACATGAAATATATTTTTAAAATAACTATCAGGGGGTGATTAGTGATCGATACTGATGCCAAAAATGCAATCAGTAAATTTTTTGTCTGTCTGTCTGTCTGTCTGTCTGTGTGTATGTTCCTTATAGAAACAAAAACTACTCGACGGATTTTAACGAAACTTGGTACAATTATTCTTCATACTCCTGGACAGGTTATAGTATACTTTTCATCACGCTACAATCAGTAGGAGCAGAGTAGTGAAGGGAAATGTTGGGAAAACGGGAGAAGTTACTCCATTTTTTAAGCTTCCGTCGCGTGTGCAGCCTTAATGATTAAAGTTACATAGAAATCATGTATGACGGAAATATTTTACATAAAATTGTCTAAAAAATATCCCGCAACAGCATATGTCTATCTTTTATGGTTGACTCACAATAACACGTGTACTCCTGATAGCTTAGCAGTTCGGAGCATTCTGATTATATGTTTACTCTTACGTTTATAATACTCGGTATAGAAACACCAAACTTATACATGAAATAAGCCATCGCGCCGTCGCACGTGAATACTGAATCATGCTATAAGGATTATTTTTGTGTAACGGTTGCCGCGCTCGACACGGGTCGCGTATAGGGTATCAAAGGTCCGAGAGCGAGCTGTCTAAATCTGTTTTCTGCGTCGCTCCCCCCCTGGGGGACGATCGCTTCCGATGAAGCCTTAGAGGCCTTCCCGGCCAGAGGCAGCCCCTACGGGTGTTTTTTAGTCAGTACGAGTCTGACATAACCTTGCAGCCGGCTGTAGGGTATCCATGAGGATTTCTCATCTGCTCCCCCGCCTGGGAGACCGAAACCATGCTTATCAGCGCGACTTTTAGTCTTTAAATAGTTTATTTGAATTTCTTTTGTTGTTATTTTGTAAAACAGGTATTAGTTGTTTCGGTAGTGTTTAAATATTCGTTCAAATTAAAAATTATTAAGCGTAGGTACTTTTATTAATTAAAGTAGTTATAAGTATTTATTTTTAAGTGAAGGAGGTATAGGTAGATAGTATTGCACAGGCGTTTCAGCTTTATTTTCATTTCTTTTTTGTTGTGAGTTGTATATATTTCTGGTTATAATTCTATAAGAATATTTTAGTTCAAATAGTCACTTAGATTTTATGTTTAAGGTAGCTAAAGTTAGGACCACGTATTAGTTGTTTTGGTAGTGTTTAAATATTTGTTCAAAGTGTAATTTAATTATATAGGATGAATATACGATGGCCCATCGAAAAGGAGTAGAAGCGGTAGACAGAACTTTAAGAGATATAAGACAAAATGATCGACCCATGGGCGGTATCACAGTTTTATTTTGTGGTGATTTCCGACAAACCTTAACGGTAATACCACGGGGAACCCGAGCTGCTGAGGTTAGGGCTTGCCTGAAAAGCTCTTATTTGTGGCGTGATATACAATCGGTGCATTTGACTATAAACATGCGAGTGAGAACTGTAGATAACCCGGATGATCGTGAATTTTCTGATATATTATAGAAAATACCTTCACCAAAGATACCTATCCACTGCTACACCAAGGAAAATTTATTCTGACGCCTGAGTTATGTTGTATAGTGCAATCCCAACAACATCTTACATCGTCAGTTTACGGTGACGTAACAAATATATTAAATAAGAACAATTCTTGGCTATGTGAAAGGTCCATTTTAACTCCTCGCAATGACCAGGCATCTGAGATTAATAATAAAATACTGTCGAATATCCAGGGGGAAAGCAAAGTTTATAGTTCAATAAATAGAATAATAACCCGATAGAATTTTTAAATTCTTTAAATATGCCCGTACTTCCTTCTCATGAAATTTGTTTAAAAATTGGCATTCCGATTATTCTGCTTCGAAATTTAAGACCACCACAAATTTGCAATAGAACTCGGCTTAAAGTAACCCAGTTGCAACAAAATGTAATCGAGGCTCAAATTTTAATAGGTTGCGGTGCAGGAGAAACCATCTTTATTCCCAGAATTCCCATAATACCAAATAATTTTCCATTCCAATTTAAAAGAACGCAATTCCCAGTATCGGTGTGTTATGCAATGACAATAAATAAGGCTCAAGGGCAGACCTTTCGTGTTATTGGAGTAGATCTCGGTGTCAGTTGTTTTTCACATGGTCAGTTATGTCGGTCTTTCCCGGGTTAGCAGTCCTAGAATTTTTTATGTTCACGTTCCGGACGGGTCAAATTTCAACGTAGTCTACCCGGAAGCTTTGCGCTGAAGTATTTTCATTCTATATGTACTTAAGACTCATGTGAAAGCGATCTAAACAATATTACCAATACATTAACATAATAACATACAAGGAGTTACACGCTGATGGTATCGGGGCACAGTGATAATAATAATATTCTGCGGTTCCTTATTGCGATATTTTTAACAGTATTATATTTCCCTACTAAAATACGAAAGTTAATCTGTCTGTCACATCAAAACCACGGAACCCTGCGGAAGGACATATGCTACTTTTTTACGAAAAACGACGATAACGCGGGCGAAGTCGCGGGCAAAAGCTAGTCAGGAATAAGATACATCCTAAAACGCCTGATTTGCAACTCGCCGCCTGCCCTTTGACAACGTGGCCACTCTGTGCCCCCCACCTAGGATGATTTTTTATAAAGGCTTTCTTCCTCACGGCCCTCACCCTCCGAAGAGAATGGCGTCTCTCGAACCCGCACTACGTATGTGGTTACGAAATTTTAGCTGGTGTTTGTCCACGCCGGCCGAAGCCGGTACCCCCATCCGCCACACGGGAGACGCGCCCATTGGCAGTCCAGCACAACTGCACACGGGATGCCTTGGCAGGGATTATTTTTTTGGAACACGTAAAGTTGTAGGCGACGAACGTTCTGACAATCTAACACCATAATTTTGGAACAACATCGTAGACAATTGATTGATTGTCTCTTAATATCGCTTCCGTTATCGATTCCTTTCCATCAGCGATATATCTCTTGCGGAGTTAGTGCTATAGCACGAATGTACTAAACAATAACATTGTCTTCGTAAACAAAACTGTTTACAGAAAACATCTGTATTGTCTTGATGGTGACGAACAAACGAACGAACGAATATTTCGCATTTGTTATTAAATTTTCAAAGAAAATCATCATTTGGCACTCGGCTCGAGAAGTAGTTGCTTATTTGCATTTTGGTTGCGTTGTGAGTTGAGTATAAGTGCATTTTTTTGCATAGCATAGATGGGTTTCGTTTTTGATATTGGAAGTTACACCCGAGTGATGATTTAGGTTGTGGCGGCAACAAACCATCAGGCGGGATTTATGCTTGTTTGCCACAATTTTTCTTCATCCAAGTGGGAACACAGTTATACTAATGTTGTTGCCATTTTCTGTTGGTTATTAACTTCCCCAGAGAAGTTTTCCCATCGAATATGACAAAAAAATGGTTCGTTCATAATTTATTAGGGTGGGAATTTTGCAATTCACAACTAAATAAATTATATAGGATCCGGTGAATCAGCTTCAAAGTTACAAGTAGTTTTACCATGAAAGCTTTATCAAAATTTACATTTATTTTTCTGTAACAGAGTGATCGAGGGTTGTCTGGTCATCATGGAAGTGCAAGGAAGTCCGGATCAGCCGGTAATCCCACTCTTCTTTAGGGGACGAGAGGTGTTCATCACGGGTGCCACCGGCTTTATGGGCAAGGTTTAAAATCTTATTATTTCAGTCATACATAATTCTTTTCATATTCTATTTTAATGGATTGGTTTCGCGATTTCTAATTATAACCTTCCCCTGTGTTACAGGTATTGGTGGAGCGCCTGCTGGCTACGTGTCCAGACATCGGCTGCCTGCATCTCCTGATGCGGACCAAGAAGGACCTAACGCCTGATACACGGCTCCGGGAGCTGAAACAGTCTCAGGTAAATGCGTAATCATCAACACACTTATGCCAGGTCTCGCGATTTTACAGGATATCTCCTGCTTTTCTGAAATTTCTCCTGTTCTTCTGCATGAATCTACTGTTTTTCTTAGAATCCGATTTTCTTTTTTAAATCGCATTTTGAGTTGTGTTTTCCGCCATTAAGAATGTAGGTAACCTTCATTATAATAAAATAAAATGGAAATGGAAGGCGTGTGTCTTAGCAGTGGGGTATTAATAGGCTGATGATAATTGGGTCGCGACACTTTGTTGCAGGTGTTTGACGTTCTGCGGCGTACCAGCCCCGGTCAGCTGGACAAGCTGAGGATCGTGAGCGGGGACATCACCAAGCCAAAACTCGGACTCTCCGATCGATCCAGGGCCGAGTTAGAAAACGTAAGTGCCTGTCAACATACCCATGTCACGACATCGTCAACATGGAACGATGCACGGTGCGTTGACATAACGTTTAAATTTACGACCAGGAGCTCTATTTTTGAATCACTCGCCTTGCGTCGAACGCTCGATTTCTAGTAATTTTCATTCGACATAATTAATTCCGTATTTTTGAATCGCTCGACGTCAACGAGCAGTCTCGACCACTAGTTGCGCGTTTGCGAAAGATGGAGGCAAATGGTAGAATAATTTTCAAAATGTCAGATATATTCAAGATTTTTTTCTCAATCTTTTTAAAATACAGATAAGATGATAATTTGTTGCGTCGTTTTGATCTTTTTTTACAAAAAAGGCAAAAGAATAAATAACCAGTTACTGAGAATTATACGTTAATTTTTCACAGCGGCAATGACTGCTCATTATCTTTATCAACGTCTTTTTTTCCGTGTTAAAAAAATAAAAATGTTGTATTAAACTGGTAGATAAACGATTCAAAGATACGGAAAATCAGTATCATGACTCATCATGACATCAGACTTGAAAATCGAAGGTGTCTTATGCCGCATTCGACGATACCATGTCAGGCGAGTGATTCAAAAATAGAGCTCCCAGTTTGCACGTTATGTCACATACAGTGCCTAATCACCGCACCGTTTCATGTTGACGATGTCGTGAGGTGGATTTGTGGACAGGCGCTAAGCTCTACGGTATTCATTAATTCTATGTCTAGGCCTCCAAATGTAAATGAAAATGTAAATGCCTATAACGAACGCAAAAAAGAATTTGCCGCATGCGTATTTTATTAAGTTACCCAATGGTTAAACGCTTGCATTTTTCCAACGATTTGCAACAAAAATGGACACACAAAGAGGAAATACTAGGGTATATATACTATTTTTAGGGTTCCCTAGTCCTGACAAAGAACCCTTATAGTTTCGTCATGTCCGTCTGTCCGTCCCCGGTTTTTCTTGGAGACTATTAGTACTAGAGAGCTGTAATTTTGTGGAGATATGTATATCAATCACACCGACAAAATGGTAGATTAAATTTTGAATTTTTTTAGGGTTGTTCCCCTACATGTAGCCGGGGGATGATTTTTTTTCATCATTTAGCCCATCGTGTGGGATATCGTTGAATATGTCCTTTTAAATTACGTTTATGGGTTCCTAAGTCTATTTTTCGATTTAGGGATCCGTTTGCGAAATATTAAATTAAAAGTGCTAATTTTTGTTCGAGTGGAGTGTCCCCCCTGAATGAACCCCCTCTAAAAGCTAAACTATTGACATGAAAAAACGTGGAAAAATTAATGATAATAATTCTTTTCAGGAACTTTTAACGAAAACTAAATACCAGTGATTGAGTAACAAACATACAAACTTTCACATTTATAATATTGTAGGTTTTTTTGTTGTATAGCTCTTTAAGTTCAATAATAAAATGTATGCAGGTGTCAGTGGTTTTCAATTCAGCGGCCACCGTGAAGCTGGAGGAGGAGCTGTCGTCGGCGGTGGAGACCAACGTGCTGTCCGTGATGCGGCTGCTGGACATCTGCGACCAGCTGCCTAACCTCGCGGTGTGTAGAAAACAGCCAGATTCATGTCATAAATCCCTTTCAAATTGTGGAGCGGAGGAATTTTTATGAAAATAAATACTTTTATTCCTTATGAAATTTAAAAACGAAAATCTTTGCACTTTGTCATTTGGCCAAATATCTATAAAGTTCCAACGATCCTTTGTGATACACTGGAGACCAAACGCGTGGATCGATTTCGACGATTCATACGTCAATCGATTCGTCCCAATCATAGAAGTACTAATAAATGCATGTTTAATCGAAATTCAATATAGGGACAATTAGACACCCTAATGTGAGAAAGAAAGAAAATTGGTCGATGAAATACGGCGAGCGGGTATCATTGTCTAGTTAATTGAAAATCATCTTAAGGTTTCATATATATTTTATTATGACTGTTTAGGATATACAACGAATTAAAACAATTCAAGTAGTCTACAATTCTGTTAAGTAAGGAACAAACCTATTTTAACAATCTGGAACCATTATGGAAAAAACATTATCCATTATAGAATATCTAATGGGTCCCGACTGTTAAAGCGGCTTTGTTTCTTTTTTACTTCACTACAGAATTATAGTCTCGAGAGAGTCGTTTTTTTCTTTTCAGATTTCATTTGAGGTAATTTTTAAGCAGTCAAGTTTTTTATTTTTATTTTACTTTGTTCTACGATTTTCCATAGTGTGACGTCGCATGTCATCGCGTCACAGCTTTGTGTGAGAGCACTGAATGATTCCAGAAAAATAACAATACTCTATTACCGGCACAGATTTATTTGTTTATTTATTTATTGTAAATAAATAAACAAAATAAAATGCTTTTATTCAAGACATGGTCTCATATACGTTAGTAACAATTTTTTGACGTGACAACGTCTTAAATTAGGTTGCGGCTGGGAGTCACTTATGAAAAAGTGTAACGCTCGGTAACGTTACGATGAGTCTCTCGTGTTAAGTTTAAGTTTACATGTACAATGTTTTAGTAAACAAAATATATTTCTATAGTTAAAATTTGTGCAATTCTTATTTTCATTCAATTCCTTGTTCCTATTGTGCAATTTAATTATATTCATATCAATAAATATTCTACCGAGAAAAAGACGTTGTCACGTAAAATCTTCGCCCGTAAAACCGACTTTACAGGCAACCATTTTTTTAACCTATGTTAGTATTTCATTTAACTCGATCTCCTCCATGCATCGTCTATATCTCCAGTCGTTAAAATCCACAAATTTGCACTGGGCTGGCGTTACGGCCCGTTTTCATGTTTTGATTTTGTCTTATGTAAGAGTTTTGTATACCAACAGTTGTGGTGATAATTGTACTACAGGCATGGCTGCACATGTCGACGGCATACTGTCACGCGGAGCGCTCCCGGGTGGAGGAGCGCGTGTACCCGCCGGCGCCGGCGCGTCCGCTGCAACGGATCATCGAAGACGCGCAGCGCGCCGGGCACATGACACCTCGCGATACCAAAAAGTAAGGCGCGCGCCTTGACGAGCTCGATGGCGCAGGTGGCTAGCGCGTTCGGCTGCGATCGTTGAAGTTAAGCAACTTTCGCAGTGGTCGGTCATTGGATGGGTGACCAAAAATTTACTATCTCGAGCTCCTCCGTGTTTCGGAAGGCACGTTAAGCCGTTGGTCCCGGCTGCATTTGCAGTCGTTAGCACCCACCAATCCGCACTGGGCCCGCGTGGTGGGTCATGGCCCAATCTCCCTATTCCATCCATAGGGAAGGCCTGTGCCCCAGCAGTGGAGACATTAATAAACTGATGATGATGATGATGACGATAAAGGCGCGCGCTGGACTTGTTTTTTACAGCCTTTGAAGGCAGACGAGCAAATCACCTAACGATAAGAGACACCGCTTGGACATCATACAGGAACACACTTTTTAAGCCTCCCACGAATGATAATAACATATCGGTGGTACATATTATCTACTCATTACTCAAGATTGTAGATTTGCTATTGAATTTTTTTAAACCCCGACGAAATGATTGACATTTTTAAATTGGAAGTTTGAGATTTCATGATTTTATTGACGTTGTAACAAAATTATGATTTGTGGTCAGTATTAAGTATTAAGTAAAATCTATGTTGGTATCATAATCATCCTTAATAGAATAATTAAAACAAAAAATATACTATAACAATGAACCTAAAACTAAACACCTTAAATATAAATATATATATAATAACTAAAATACATTATTAAAAGGAGTCCCTTTCGGCAAGGTTCCGAAGATACTGGCAGCGTTCCCCCTTTGGATAGCTAGACTAATTCTTTGTCCGAGGTAGCTGCCAGCTCTTCGGTCTCCTGTGATGTCGACTAATCTTTTTGCTATTTCTTTAAAAAGACTTATAGCGCTAGGACCCCACGGACCAAGGGTCTTGACACCGAATGGGACAAAATCATATTCGGAGCCTAGACCCCTGTATTTGCCTGCCTTAGCTTTTTCAGCCGCTTCACAAACCGCACCAGCTCTGTTGATGGTTCCATGTAGATGGGAAGGGGCCAGCGTGTCTGAATAGGTTGCATCCCATACTAGCATCCGACCCATCTTCCATGGAATCAAACTCATACCGTCCGGTCTCTTGCCATCGTCTCTTGCAATACCAGTTGGCTCAAGTAGACTTGGCACGTTGACGGTGGCAAGGGACCGGCGTATGATATCGTTAAGTGCGGCGTGTCTCGAGAAGCGGCCTGCACTTTTTTGGCAAGACAGTCCGTGATGTCCTAGCGTGTCGACATCACTGCCACAGGGACATTTATGAGGAGCGCAGACCGGGACCCCAAGCCGTAGACAGGTTGCCATTCGGAGTGTGTCAGGCTCAAGAAATGTGCCTGTATTTGTCGAAGGGTACGCGTGAAGCCAGTAGCCGGCCTCATGCGTACTCACGGCCAAAAGCCTAGCACGCGCCGAACCTGTACTGCAACTCAAAAGGTTATTATAAGTTAATTTACAATTTATGTCGTCCCAACTCCTCTGTGAATTTGGAGAAACTGGAAAATTTTGACCTGGGCATGCAATTAAGAAAGCGTTTCTAGCTTCTTCCAAGCCAGCAATCTCAAAGTTTGAAGGGGATGCCCTTAAAATTTTACTTATGAGATTTGCTGAACTATGGACAGAAGATAGGAAGGCTGGTAAAGCGACACCGGAAATTTTGCGAATCCCTAAACCACCATAACGGATGGGTAGGGATGCTTGGGTCCAAGATTGCTCGTTCAGCTGCATATTAAGAATCGATTCTAAGTTAATTTTGATTAAGTCGTCTAATTGTGACAAAAGATCTAAGTGATTCCAAAAAGAGCAGCAACGGAGCACATACGTAAATTTTGGGACAAAAAGACAGAATTTTAAGATGCAAAGTGCATAATTTGTAAATGTTGTTACATTACTATTTTTAATGTAGTGGAGCTTCTTTCTCTCGTTTTTCTCCGCAGTTAAAATATATGTCTAATAACGAGTGGTAAGAAAATATGGTTTTTCGACCATTCAAAAGAGTTGTAATATGCATTCAATTTGAATAAAGATATAATTGATTTCGATTTTTGTTTCTGAATAAATCCTCCGACACCCAAAAATAATCAAAAAGTAAAATTGCTATTATATTATTATTAAAGTAATCGTTGGCCAACAATATATCAATCGCTAACGCTTCTTATTTCTACGTTCTGATCTGGTAGGTATCAATTATCTCTTATCTATTAGACAAGTCCGTCCGTCCGTCCGTGGTGCTGTTTCAGCATCCAAACCGTAAGAGATAGTTAAAGAGAATGTTTAAGTTATAAGTTAAGAATAGTCTGGTATGACTACAAACCGGATTTGAGTAACGTAGCACTTCCTGTTTTCGAGAAATCACGAATTTCAAACGAAACCACACAAAATCTCCGAATTTCTCAATTAATTAAATACATTTTTTTTTAAATCAGGTTTTGGTGAACATTTGGTTCACTGGTTTGCTAGTTTTGATATAGTAGTAGAGAACGTAGTTGTTATCTAATAGGAAATTATGACAGTGTGTCTCAAACATATTAATCCACAGATTTATCTCGCCCAAGCCGAACACGTACACCTTCACGAAGATGCTGGCGGAGTACGCGGTGCTCGAGCACGCCCACAAGGGCTACCCCCGCGCTATCGTCCGCCCCACAATAGGTGCTTCACGTTACTATACTCTTTTACTTTACTATAGTGTGTGATTTATATCTAAGTTTGTAGTTCTATTACAAGTTTGAAGGATTATTCGTGGTTGTGGTATTTAAATGAAGGATTTAGTTTATACAACTTATCGATTTATTGCGAGATCAATTTCATTGCAGTTGCAAAGACAAGAGAGGGCAGTCACAAGTGTCAAGATTAGGAACTATAAAAATGGTTGCGTTCCATTAGAACAATTCTAACAAAGTTCTTTATCTAAGTCCAAAAATATTGTTATTTTATAAGAGTGCTTATCGAGCCTTTTCTGTGTTTGGAATAGAGACAACTGACATAAGCCGCGATAACGACTGCGGATACAGCTATCTTTGACGATCAATCTTGGTCACCATCGTACGACCGTAAAATTGCAAAAGCTATGCTTTGCTTGCTTTACTTCCACGATTGCAGAGCGAACGCCAGAAATTTATTACTACGCCATCAAAATCCACTTTTTGACTTCGACGAATTCGAGCATTTAGTGAGTATTCAGGGTTCAGGGGGGCGGGGGATTCCAGGGTCACTAGAGAGGAAGGAGGGTTCCAGTTATAATGCAATCGACATAATTATGTACTTCTAACTTGGCAACTTCTAACCGAACGCGCTACCATTGAATTCCTCGTAGAGGTAGATAGACCACTAGCGGCCCGCCCTCGCTTCGCTTCGGTGTAGAGCTGAAGTGTAGACTACAGTTTTTGTTCTCAGGCTTTTACACAATGACATTCATCTATGATTCTTCTTATACCTGCATGCAAAGTCTCAGCCCGATCGGCTTAAAATTGACAAAGTTTCATACAAACTTTCATTCTCTATTTTATCCCCTTGAGGATAGAATTGATCAAAATCCTCTCTTAGCGAATGCCTACGTCATAACATCTACCTGCATGCCAAATTTTAGCCCGATCCGTTCAGTGGTTTGGGCTGTGCGTTGATAGATTACTATGTCAGTCATCTTTGAGTTTTATATATATAGATTGTGACTCGACTAATCTAACGATGCTATGTCAGTGATATCCTCCGTGCGACACCCGTTCGCCGGGTGGGTGGAGCGGTACAGCGGGCCGACGGGCGTGGCTGCGGCGGTGGCTCGCGGCGCCCTGCGAGTCATGCGCTGCGAGGGAGCCGCGCGCGCAGATCTACTACCTGTGGACATCGCGGTAGACACGCTCATCGCCGCCGCCTGGGAGACTGCCGTTGACCAGTGACGCTTATTTCATTGATATTTTTTACAATTAAGATTTAGAAGAAGCCGAAACACCTAGTGAGTTCATTCGAGTACTGCCGTGGAGGAAGCAGAAATATTTGGTCAGGCAGGCAAGTTAAATGAGTGAACTGAGGACTTTGGTTGCTCTATGTTATTTTTTTTTATATGCCGCACCTTGGTGACGCCTTTGTCACCAAGCCTGACTTGTAACCTGCAATATATCCAAGATTTACACACACACGTTCTTCATTTAAAGGGCTTTTAGAAAGGTATAAGGAATCAAGATCCTACTTGATTCCGTATCACTGATCTCATAAGATCAGGGACTCAAACAAGCTCCGGCCCTAACCTTTGAACAGGGTAGAGCGGGATTTTCTTCAGCACATTTTAGTTATGTGATCCTTAATTTTTGCTGGACATAGTTTTAGCACTTGGCAATTTGGTGGTGTCAGAAGCAATCGCTCTGCTCCACTGTAATGTAAGTCACGACCGATGCTGCCTTAACTTGTAGTCTAAGTGGTTTTTAGAGCATTAGATTTCTGCAGTCAAGTAACAAGACCACCAAAGATTAACAGGAATCACTTTATGAGTACTAATAATACCCATTAGATGGCTTCCGTGCATATTATGCTTACCACATATTTAGATAAACATTCTATGATGGTGGTGATATTGAAACAGTTTAACCGTGGTCTCTATATTAGTCCAGTAAGATATTATGGGTATAGTTTCCATTTTAATAATATAACTGTACATTGAGTTAGGTTATCTTCAGTTCGAGTATACAACTGCAGCACGTCGGAGAACCCCACCAACTGGGAGACGCTGCGCCGGAGCATCGAGGACACCGCGCGTTCCTACCCCTCCGCGAATGCCGTCTGGTACCCGCAGTTCATGTTCGCCAGATCAAGGTGAGAATTAAGGAATACATAAACTGAACGTATGCAACGCATTAATCTCAAACTCATTTATTCAGTCTAGTCTGTTACAAGCTCTTGTGAAAGTCAAACGCTCCATCGGTTCGTAAATCTACCTGTTTTCTTTCATACAGTGTTGTCAATTGAAAGATGACATCAAAAACTGAAAACATTTGTGTTGGTGTCAACTTTCATCACATTAATATTTATAATTAACAATAAGTTAAGTATAGCTAGGTATTATTTTTAAATTTAGAAGTGGCGATTAAACAATTTTCAAGACTATAACACCCCGACGGCATATGCCAAATTGTTACATCATTGTTTGTCGACGAACTTCCTTATATGCGAGGGTCAGTACTACCTTAAAATAAATGGGGTCGCAATTGGCAGTCCGGTAGCTACAGTAGTTGTTAATATATATATATATATATTATAGATAGA